TATATATTTAGCAGAAGGAGCAGATAACACTTTTAAAAGGCTAGCAAGCCCCTACTTTACTCACTGCAAAATGTGAGGGAAACTTCACAAAAACTTAAGAATGCATTTTATTTATTTATTTATTTATTTATTTTTTGCTGAAATTAGCCTTAAGTCACATGGACCTTAGGATATGTATGTGAGTACATACGATTTTCATATAAACACTTTTTCAGACAGTATAAACAGTTATTTATTAACCGCCAATTATGTATAAAACACTATGATAAATTAAGTAGAGAGTTAGAGATAAGAAAATAGAACAATTTGGTAAGGGATGTTAATCAAATGGCAGTTTATTCACAGTCTCAGAAAATTAAATTTCATGGTATATTTAGAGTATGATAAGATTCTACCATGCCTAGATATAATTTTACATTCCAGCTAATGAAATGGAAAAATTCAGGTTACAGAAGTTTAGGGTGATTTATAATTGCTAAGGACAATCCATTTAAAATAATGGGTCAACTATTAAAAATTTTAAGTTCAAAGCAAAATAGGAAACACCTTCATACCCAGTGATAAAATATTTACTTGTAACTCAGACAAAATTCTTTATTTAAGACCTGTGGTATCACATGATGAGTGTAATTATTGGGGTTTCAATGATAACTGTTTTTTGAGGTGCTCCTTTCTGCAAACACGTCATCATACTGCAAAGAGCAGAGAGCTTCAATGTCAAGTACCTTCTTTCCCCGTTCGGTTCCTCTTTTTTTGCCTTTCCCCCTCCATTATGGTTTCTGGTGGCTTCTTGCTACTGGATACAACGAATTAATTGTCTTATAATTGTTTCACTATTGGGGTCTGTGCCATGTGAGTCACCATCTCATTTAATCCTTACAGCAACCCAATGAGTTAGGCATTTTCAGCACCGTTTTACCAGGAAATTGCAGCTCACTGAGGCTGATCCAGCACCTGAGTGCTAGTAAGTGGCGCTGAGGGAGCTAGGGGCTCACCACTGTCTGGTGACCACGTGGGGTCCACAGTAAGTGCCTTGCAGGTGATTTCTATTCCTGTCCTATCCCATAACCCTTGGTGAAATGTGTTCTCACTCTATCCCAACTGATTAGGAAATCAGCTCATGAATTGTGTGTGAATTGCACTGTCCAGCAGTGGTTTTGGGGACTACCTCTGGCCACCTCGTCATTTTCCTACCATTTCCTAAAGCCATTAGCAGCCTAGGCTGGCCCTGCCTGCGCTTCTCTTTCAGACCAGTAAAGCAGCAGCTGCTGGTCAGAGCACAGGGTCAGGTCTAGTGAATGAAGTTGCCATCAGATAATGAAAGCCTGTGCTCTGCAGTAAAACGTCATTGATGGGGGAAACGCAGGCTTGTAACTGACATCCTAGCAGACTGGACTGAAGGGCTTGCTCTGGACCTGGCTATTTGCCTTCCTGTAGAAATGGGGACCAGCTTGTTACTGTTCGTTGACCTGAATGAAAGTTATTAGCACACACATATCATCCTTCTGTGCTTATTTTTCGGCCTTTTCCAAATTTTGAATCATTATGGCTTTGCCGCTTCCCCTGGTATTACAAAATGTGTTACTTCTAGATCATCTTCTGCACACAACTATATGGTTATGGGGATGAGGTCTCTGCATGTGGAATCATCCTTGCTCTTCAGAAAGATCGTGAAGGATGAATTAAAGCTCCGTGGAAAAATGAGAGTATGTTTTGATATCATTACTTTTGATACTTCAAAGTTGAAGGTGTTGTAGGTTATTATAATCATTTAATTGTGTTGATTCCATTCAATTACTTGAGATGAGACATGAGTTGGCAACTTGGTGCCTTTTACTATCTGCTTGCTGGTCACCTCCAGTAGTAAAGATGTAGAGTTGGGAAGTCACCTTTGATTGTTTACCTGCTGGTTTATTTGGTTAAAGACGGTACATGTGTTCCATTGAGTTGTGGGGGTTCCTGCTTATTTTGGTTTTACCATCTGCGTGCTAACACCCATGGCCCTATTCAGTTCCTCTTGATCAAGACTGCCAGACATCAAAATAATCTGCATTCATTTTTTAAAGATAGAAACATACTGGGTCCGTTTCCTACCCCTTTTCCCAATTCTGTAGTCAAAGTCTCCCTTAGCCCGAAGGAACACTAAATTGGGGGGAAAACCTATCAGTGTGGCGTCTTCTAAGGAATTCTAACTATTGTTGCCATCCCCAGGGTCACTTCTTTGTGATCATCCAGACCTTTTTGTTACCCCAAGGCAGAGGTTTCTCATTCTTCTCCAGTTAACTTTTCGAGAACTTTTTCCACCTGGAAATTTTTCTTCATGTTTCAATTCAAAGCTGTTCCTGCAATTTAAGCACATTTTCCCTGGGGAGATGGAGAACAGATGGCTTGTACTGTAGCCTTCTTTCAAGTCTCCAGTTAAGCCCTCTTATTATTCTTTTACATAAATTAAATGGTACGTTTCCTCTTTCCTTTTAGGTCCTTTACTCCTTTGCTACATAAAATGTGGGCTTGAGACCAGCAGCACTGGGGTCACCTGGGAGCTGGTTAGGATATGCAGAATCCTGGGCCCCACCCCAAGACTAGTGAGTCAGAATCTGCAACAACACCCCACGGAGATCTTAAGTACATTAAAGTTTGAGAAGCACTGTTTTATTTTTTCCCTTCAGAATTTGTTTGTTATTTTCTCTGTACTTTACTTTGTCTTAACAGGGAAGGCCAGAGCTAGACATGTTACTATAACAATGGCTCGAATATTACCAAGTATAGTGAAGGTATTTATCTCAAATTCCTGTTAATTTAATACTCATGATGTTAAAATATTTCAAACTGCTGTTGACCCTTGGTCATCACGGGTTTGAACTGAGCCGATCCACTTATATATGGATCTTTTTCAGTAAATACTGTCGCTGTATTTTTTCTTATGATTTTCTGAATAATGTTTTCTTTAGTTTGCTTTATTGTAAGAATATGGTATATCATACATATAACATAGAAAATATGGGTTAGTCGACTGTATACGTTATTGGTAATGCTTCTGGTCAACAATGGGCTGTTAATAGTTAAGTTTTGGGAGAATCAAAAGCTACAAATGGATTTTCAACTGCACAGGGGGTCGGTGCTTCTAACACTCATGTTTAAATGTCAACTGTACATTGATGTGTATTCTTCATATGCAATAAACTCGTAGTCTGCACAGAGTTTGGGGGTCTTTTTCTGCCATGTGTTTAACCCCTCACCCATAGAAGTCTCCATTTCGTAGCTGAATGAGTTGTCTGCTAGGAGTGTTGCTTTGCATTTTTACTGAATACCGCCCTGCTTTCTTCTTCTATTAGGATCATTTTTGCTTTTTTAAATAGTTGGGCTATTAAGATTTTAATGACTCATGGTTAGAAAATATACTACTTTTGGGTGAGGAGACCCCAAGTCTCATCTCAGTGCTACTACTAACCAGTTTCATGAGCTCAGACAACTTATTTAGTGATGAGTCTAACTAAACACCCACATGATCAAGGAAGTTCTCATAATACCAGGCCCGGAACTATTTCGATTGTTCTGTTCATATTTATCTACGAATGCTTTCTATGGTGACTTGGTCACGTAGTGGAAGTTACCTGTAGAAATGGGAATGGAGCATCTAAAACAAAAATTGGACTAATCATCCTCCAGATGCATATTTTGGTTAGTCATTGTACCATTCTCCTTTGATTTCTTGAATCTATCCCTGGAAGAAATGCTAGTAAACCACTAAATGGCCAAAGGCAGGGACAGAGGCCACCACCGCGAAGGGTCCCTGCGTATTTACTGACTCCAAATGGTTCTCAAGTCACCTTCTATTGACTTTCTCTAGCTCTGCATAGAATGGGAAATTAGCAAGGACCTGCTTGCTGTCAATCCTTGCCCCTCTGTCTGAAGACTCGGGATCCAAGAAGAAATGATGTAAGCAAGTCAGTGGCTATCTTTATGGGCCCTGTTCATACTGCTGAATGTTTGGGAGTGAGGAGAGAGCTTAGAGTGGGAAGAAAGAGGAGCATCTCTGAAGAAATAAGTCCTGACATGAACATTTCCGTAGTCATGCTCTTCCTTGTACTGTTAACGGCAGGAAAGAGGGGAAAAACCAAACGAACAGGTAGGCCATTGCCCGTTTGTGATGTGGTTTTATGGGAAAAAACTAAGGTAATTTTTGAGCAGAATTAAGCAAAGCTCATCACAGGACTGTTAATTAAGTGTTAATTATAGCCCATCCCTGTTTGATGGTAGCAGTGAAATTGCATGGTTAGGTTTTATTCTGAAGGCATTTTGTCAGTGTCTCAGGCTACGGTCTAGAAAGAATAGAAGCCATTGTTTTCTTTGTGTCATTTGGGACCACAACAGCTTCTGCGGCTGTGTTTAAAGAGGATCTGTTCTTATTGCCATGACTTTAGGGTTCGGTCTGAAAAACTTTGTCTTTAATCACCTGGAAATGAAGCTCTTCTTTCTGTTCATTGTCTGACGTTTAGAAGTTTGAGGCCTGTGTACTCTCATTGATGGTGGGATGTGTGCCCTTCCCCCGCCCTGCTGTGTAAGTTTAGGGAGAGCAGACCTAAAAGTGTCTTCCTAGGAAGCTGTCTTATTCTTAGAAACAGCAACTGGAATGTCTCTATCAGTCTTTGACTATTTTTTTTTTTTGGTAATAAATCATCTTCCAAGATGGATATTTATTTCATAAAGTGAAAAAAAAAAATCTAGGAAACAGTATTCTTACATGCATAACCACTTAGAGAGCAAAGTTAGTGGATTAATTTTTAAAATTCAACTAATTCTGGAGCAGAGGGAGCCTAATCCTTAATTTTTTCTTTTTTTTTTTTTAATTATCAGATATTTGAGGGCGGCGAGCATGACTAATAGTCACAAGGAACATAAGGCAAAGTGTCTTCTTGTTCATAATGTCCTTCCTTCTCTTATCTCACTGAGTTTTACAAATGATCTTGAGGACTAGGTATTTTCTCCATTTTATTAAATTATGGAGGCAAGGAAGGTCAGACGCCTTGTCCAAGACCGTATGGAAAGAACCGGCTGAGCTGGGCGAAGCTACACACCTGGGAGCCATACCATGCGTCTCCTCGTGGCATTGACCTTTCTCTTCTCCATGGTCGGCATAGGTGGAGCGGCACCACACCGCGCTCCCGACTTCCTCGTGCGCGTTTGCCAGATATTCTGCCCTCCCTAGTCATTGCTTCGGCACTGTGTCCAGAAGGCTCACGTCTTCCTTTGGAGTGGGGACATGTGAAACTGTGGGCCGGGACTGGGTCATCAGATTAACTAGCTGTTTTCTAGTAAAAGGTCGTGAGGGAGCGGGACGCAGCAGAGGTGAGTGTCCAGCAGTGATAAATGAGGAAAGGCTGTGAGTATGGAGAGGCCCCCAGTAGGACCCTGAAACTGTGGGTGACAGTCAAAATCAGTGAAGGCCTCAGAACAGGAATGTCTCTTCCCTCTCCCTCTCCCCTGAGCTGGCCTGGACCCCAGAAACAGTTGGTTGACAAGCGTGTTTGGTGGCTTCTTATATTTCCTCAGCTAAAGGCGGTCGCTCTGGAGGATGGTTTGTCAACCTCAGCACCACTGACATGTTGGGCCAGATCATTCTCTGTTCCAGGTGGCCACCTTGCGCACCGTAGGATGCAGGGGTACTCCTGGCCTCTACCCACTGGATGCCAATAGCATGCCCTTCACCTCACCCCAAACCCAGTGGTGACGACGATCTAAAATGATTCCGGGCATAGCCTTGAGGGGAGACATTGTTTCTACCCACCTCGAGAACCACTGCTCTGGGGATTTAGTGCCATGCTTGGAGCTAGGTCAGCGTGGTTCAGCCGAAGGCCCGGTGGCTCCTGCCGGGAACTCCCCTGGGCCTGAGGGGGACCTTCACAGACCTCATTTCTCTCTGTGGGGACTGTGATTTCCCTCAGGGTCACTGATGAATATTCTTCATCAAGATCCCTTCATTAAGAGTTGTCACCATCTCTTAATTAAGAATTAGGCACAACTGTCCTCAGGATGCTTCTGGTTCAGCCAGGCAACCAGCTCAGCACCCGAGCAGCATGATGCCGTTTAATCCAGCATACTGTGGGGGAACTTTGCGGCAAATGCCACTTTCGAAACTACAAAGAAACGGGCTGAGATGTCAGATCATGGGGAAAAGAGAGAGGGAACAGGAGCAAAGGGAAAGCGAGACTGAGAAGTCAAAGCAGAGGACCGGGAGTCGTGTGGTCAGCAGGTGAAAAGTCAACCCCTCTCTGTCAACCGGAAGAATCTTGCCTCCTTATTTGAGACAAAGAGGTGTTTGCAGTTACTTAGAAATCTGCGCCATTGTCTGTTTCAAAGACCTTAGAGATGCAAGCAATGTATACATTATCAATTATTTCAGATTATCTTTCTGATTTTTTTTTTCCTTCCGCTTCCAGCTGCCAACGATTAGACATGTGCATCTGGCAGCAATTTCAATTTTTCGTCAAGTTACTCAGGCAGCATTGACTGGCTGCGTCACGCTCCTGTTCAGTTTCTTCCGATGAGAGATTGGAGAAAAGAATTCGGAAACAAAAGCCACCCAGCTCCACCCCCCAACAATTAGAAACATGCTTTAGAACCTGGAAATGGTGTACAAGAATCCCATCGAACATCCATTTAAGCCTATTCATGGGAATTCTTTGTAAATTCTTTTATGTCACATTATAAGTCTTTCTGCCTAAAAGGGTGGGGGGTGGGCTTCAAGCTTTCAATGTCTTCTGGGGAAGCAATAGAAGCTGCCTTCCATGGTGATTTTGTAGAGAGCATGAATTTAAGATCTGCTCGAAGATATGCTACTACTATTTGTCCTAATGTTTATTTCGTGCTGTTCTCTTTGTAGGTAGGTAGGTCTTTGTCTAAAATTGTATCACAGGGTCATATTTTTAGCTTTACTACCACGACTTTTTCTTTTTCTTTGTGTTCTGACATTTTCCCCATACCTCCCTCCTGCCTGAAATAACTTTGTCTCTCTTCCCAAGACACATTCTAATCTTGGCTTCAGCTTCAGCCCATGGCTGTCATCTGGTCTGTGGATTCATTCTTGCTTGCTTGTTCTACTGAGGCATTTTTGGCTAGTATGTACTCAGGTATGCAGAGAAGACATGGGATTCGCGGATTTCTAGTTCTTAATAAGAGTAGTTACAATAAGAGCTGCTGATTGAGGACTTATTAATCAAGCACCATGATAAGAACTTTTCATGTGTGATCTCATTTAACCTCAACGATAACCCTATGAAATGGGTACTGTTACCCCCATATTGCAGATGAAAACACTGAGATTTACGAAAGTTGGTAACTTGCCCAAAATCCAGAGAAAAGAACAGTGAGAGAGGAGATCATCTAAGTTGTCTTGGTCTCCTTTTAAATTTTCAGTTGGAAATAAGTTCTGAGTTAAAATCGATCATTCTTCAAAAAGCATAACGGCCATGTAATAGCTCCATTTTCATTTTCAAAATAACTTCGTTTGGGTCGAGTTTCCTAAATTACTTTTTAGAATTCAAAATTGCATGCAGGTGACTCGTGTATCACTCAGGTAGTGATAACTCCAGGAAAGCACACATTTATTGCATGACTTGATTGCAAGCAACCTTAGAGCTTATCTTTAACATAACCCAGTGAAATCGAGGTCCCACCTGTGGTATTCTCGAAGCAAGAAGGAAGACATAGGCTAAAACCTTTTTGGTTGTGATTTACGATAATGGCTTCCAGGAGATGTTAATTAGGTGTGTGTACTAGAGAAAGTCTTCTGCTGAACTTGAACTTCCTAGGGACAGTTGGAAATGGTTCTGCTAGGCCAGTTTCATGACCAAAAACTTACGGGAAAGGAGATCAAGGCCGTATAGCGGAGGTACCTCGTGGTTCCTTGTAAAGATGCTTGTTCAGTTCAGTACATTTTTCTTGCATTACCAAGTTCTTCCATAAAGTCAACCACAACCCATATTATCGGGGACTCCGGCTAAAACTTGTGGTGAGTAGGAAATAGATTAAACATAGGTTTTCCCTTTTCTCCAGCTGCCAAAAGTGATGTCAGCGGTGTTAATGATCCTTACCTCAGCCCATGGCAGACCCAGGGCCAGACGCTGTTCTAGCCTCTGGTTCTTGTGCTATTATGGAAAAGCTGATGATGGTTGATAAGAAACAATTGGGTAGGGGACAATTTCTCAAACATAAAGTCGGCACTTGCTTTCTTGAAGCCATTTGTGCTCGGCTCCAGGGAGCAGGCAAAGAATGCAAAATCTATTTAGTGGTTAACACAAAAGGTAAAGGCGACGGGGCTAGGCCTGCTTGATTTCCTTCTGCCTAATTACAGAAACCGTACTGCAAACACTTTTTACCATCTGCACCACATTGTAAACTAATCTAAGTCTCCTGGTTTGTGTTAAAGTCAGACCGATAAAACCTATATCCTGTATTTCTGAACATTCAAAAGAAAACCGATGTGAAATTACAATATAAACCTCAGAAGTGGAATGTAATTCCTCCGAGGGAGGATATAGTGTAGAAATAGCTCCTGTGAAAGCATAAGAAAGGCTGCTTTTTATGACGCTCT